TGTGTGTGTGTGTGTGTGTGTGTGTGTGTGTGTATTGGGAAGGATAGAGCTGTTTAGTTTGACTAGTATAAAGAAATACTTGAGAGTGTAATATAAGGTTGAAAAGATAGGCTAATGATCATATTGTGGGATGGCCTTGAAGCTAGACAGAATTCTAACTTTACTTGGTCAGCAGTAAGAAAACACTGAAGAATTTGGAACAGAGCCACTTCTCTACATGACTAGATCTATGCCTTAGAAAGATTAATCTCCCAGCAGCAAAAATGGAAGATTGAAACAAGAATCTAGGGACCATCATTTTCTCCCTTCCTCTTTAGAGGCCTATCTGATGGTGATGGTCTTCCAGATCAAGAAGATGTTGTTTTTTTCAGTCTGGAACTGTGATTTAATTTTTACAAGGAAGTTCTAATGTAGACATCTCCTTCACCAATGCAGATCAGCAACACCTTAGAAACTTATAGTCTTGAAGAGTTGCCTAAGGCACTGAGAGGTTAAGTGACTTGCCAGTATATGTCAGAGACAGGATTCAAACCCAGGTTTTTCTGATTCTGAGACTGGCCTTCTAATCACTTACTTTATGTATATTTTATTTGAAACATTCTTTTCTTTTAAAATTTTGAGTTCTAAATTCTCTCCTTCCCCTATCCACTGAGAAGGCAAGCAATGTGATATTAATTATACATGTGAAATTATAAAAAAACATATTTCTACACAGACCATATTGTAAAAAAACCCAAGAAAAATAGAGTAAGAAAATTATACTGCAATTTGCACTCAGAGTTCCTCATTTCTCTCTCTGGAGGTGGATAGTATTTCTCATCATAAGTCCCTTGGAATGGTCTTGGATCATATTATTGATCAGAGTAGCCAAGTCTTTCAGAGTTGATCATCATTACGTCTTTGCTGTTATTATGCACAATGATCTCCCAGTTCTTCTCACTTTGTCTCATTTCATATAGATACTGCCATGTTTTTCTGAAACCACCCCAGTCATTTTTTATAGCACAATAGTACTTCATCATAATCATATGCCACAACTTGGTCAGCCATTTTCCAATTGATAAGCATCCCCTCAATTTCAAATTCTTTGCCACTTCAAAAAGAGCTGCTATACATATTTTTTGTAAATATAGGTCATTTTCATTTATTCTTTTATCTCTTTGAGGTATAGACCTAGTAGTGGTGTTGCTGGGTCAAAGGATATTCACAGTTTTATAGCACTTTGGGCATAGTTCCAAATTGTTCTCTAGTACGGTTGGACTAGTTTACAACTGGACCAACAGTGTATTAATGTACCCATTTCCCTCCATGCCCTCCTGCATTTGTCTTTTCTGATAGGTGTGAGGTGGTTTTTCAGAGTTGTTTTACTTTGCATTTCTCTACTCAATAGTGATTTAGAACATTTTTTGATATGACTAGAGATAGTCACTAAATAGTCATTAATCGTGTATTAAACACTTAACAATTAAGTGGAAGAAGTTAAAAGAATGAATTTATCTGGTCTACGTCCTGTGTCAAGGGTGGGCTTATTTGATCTCATTCTAATCATATACATATATAAACACAGATACACCCTCCCCCCACCATATGTAGACATCCATCAAAGCCATGCTCCAAAGTATGGGTTGTCATGTTGATCTGTATTCTCAACAAATCCTGTAGTCTCGAACAACCTCTAGAAGCTTCTTCCAACATGGAAAAACTTTGAATGTAGAACAGTGTCTGTTGCTTGGGGGACTTGCCTATACAAGGGCCAGATTATTGTTTGTCCTTCATTCTCAAAGAGGACCATAACATCAGGAAGATGATTCCATGACTTGCAAGTGAATAGAATTTAAATGAGGGAGGGCTCTGCAAGGTCACCAGCCTCATTTTCAATTCTGGAGACATCTGGGTCCAGAAGATATAGATTAGGACGACTGGACATAGCCACCACATAGGGGCAGAGTCATTGTCGAAAAAAGGTGGCCACTAGATAATGAATTTCTTCTTCAGTTACAGAAGCAGCTCATGAAGGTTGTCTGCCTCATGAACGGTCAGGAAGGCTGTGAGACAGAGGAAGAATGAAGGAAAGAAGGAAGCAAGGAGGGAAGGAAGGAAAGAAATGTGGGAAAAGAGAGAGAAAAAGACAGAGACACAGAGCGAGACAGAGAGGGGAGAAAGGGAGAGAGAGAGAAAGAATGATTCCATGAATCTGGGAAGAAAGAGTATTCAAAAGTGTCAAATGCAACAGATGGGTGTAGAACAAGATTTCTTAAATTTTTTTTTTTGGACCATGGACTCCTGAGGTAGTCTTCTAAAACCTATAGACCATTTCTCAGAACTTTAAAAAAAAATTCATAATTAAAGAAATGCTAATTTTTAGTTAGAGGTTAATGAAAATAATTATTTATATGTATGCATTCATATGTATGTATATATAATATATGCATGTATAATACTATGTATAAATATTCATATATACATATATATATATATATATATATATATGTATTTTTTTTTCCCCATCCAAATTCATGGAACTCCTGAAATCTATGCTTGGACTCCTTGGGCATCAGTGGATCTAAGGTTAAGAACCCCTGGTATAGAAGAATGACTGAAAAAGAGTATCAGATTTGGCAATTAAGAGTATAAGTTGTAAAATCAATGCTAATCTGCATCAGTAGAGGGAATTATGTCAGTAATATTTACTCATAATAGTCAGTTTTTTAGTCAATCAACATTCATTTATTAAGTGACTACCATGTTCTAGCTACTGGGCTAATGGTGGGTCTCATTTTATTTGTGTGTTTTATGTAGAAAGATGATAGTCAATAGACACTTATTAAGTGCCTGCTATGTACCCCTTACTATGGTAAGCCATGGAAATACACAAAGAGGCAAAAGACAGTCCCTGCCCTCAAAGAGCTCACAGTCTAACGGGGAAGATGAAAAGTATATATACATATATACACACACATATACACGCACACACACACATGCACACACATATATATATATTATATACATACACACATACACTCACAAACAAGTTATATGTAGCATAAATCAAAAATAATTAAGAAACAGAAGGCCCTAGAATTAAGAGGGATTGAGAAGAGTTACCTGTAAAAGACAGGGTTTTAGTTGGGACTTAAAGGGGATACCATAATGGATACAGTGCCACCCCTAGAGTCAGGACAACCTGAGTTCACATCTGGCCCCAGACACTTATAAGCTGTGTAACCTTGGGCAAGTTACTTAACCCTGTTTGCCTCAGTTTCTTCATCTGTAAAATTAGCTGGAGAAGAAAATGACAAGCCAGGGAAGAAGAGACGAGGAAGGGGAGCAGTCAAGGCATGGAGGACAGCCAGAGAAAATGCCTAGAGTCCAGAGATGGAGTGTCTTGTTCATATATAGCAAGGATGCTAGTGTCATTGGATTAAAAAATCTATGGAAGTGAGTAGAATGTAAGAAAACAGGAAAGATAGGAGGGAACTAGGTTATGAAGGGCTTTGAACAGTAAAAAGAGGAATTTGTATTTTGTCTTTGATTCTGGAGGAGATAGGGAGCCATTAGAGTTTAGATAGATGGATTGATCAATCAATAGATATACACACACACTCACATATAAGTGTATATATAATATACAAATATATACATATATATGCATATATAATTATTTCCATTTTATAGGTGGTCATAGGATCACAGGAAGCTGTATGGTGGTAGATTAAATGCTGAATGTAGAGTCAGGAATACCTGGGTTCAAATCCTATTTCTAACTGGATAATTCACTTAGCATCTCTGAGCCTCAGTTTCATTATCTGTAAAATGAAAGGATTGGCCTAATGGCTTCTAAGGCCTCTTCCAATTCTAAATCTATGATGATCCTATTATACAGGCAGACAGATTGGGGAGGGGGGGAAGACGAGAGACAGATAGACAGAGACAGAGACATAGAGAGACTGGGCCTGTGATTTCATTCGTAGGTCAAAAATTTCTCTGTAACTTGGAGAGTTGCCTAGAGAACTTATAGTTTAAATCACTTGCCCAAGGTTACACAGCCAGTATTTGTACTCAGACTCAGGTTCTCCTGTTTGTCTCTATAGTCACTATACCACATTGTCTCATTTTATTTATCTGTCTGCATGTGTATTTTTTGTGTATGTATGTATATACACACAGTAGATTCCTTCATAATAAAATGTGTATATGTGTACCCACACATATACCTATGTAAAAAGGTATCTATGCAAATTTATTTTACTTATTTAATGGCTACTCTATCCTATCCTGAATATTTCCCCAATCTAGTACAGTTATACTTTTCAGCTAGCAGTGTGACCCTTTATGGAATCAAAAGGGTGATTGTAGTTCAAAAGTGGACTTTGGGTTGGCTATCAAGGAGTTCTTGTATAGAGTATTCATTATTTTGCTTGTAAGAAAATTAAATCCTTTTTTACAACTGTGTCTGGCCATACTGAGCTCAAAGGTTATACCCTGCACAGGTGAAATCACCATGGGTTTGATAGTAGTTCTCCGAGCAAGAGATGGGGTTGATCATCATTGAAATTCTAACCACCAAAACACTATAGCCATTTTTCTGGGACAGCATATAACAAAAACAAGACCCTCATTCAAATTCAACCTTAAATCTGAAAAGGGAAATAATTCACTCAATGGTGATGGACAACAACCACCTTCAACCTTGCTAACCTAGATTAGAAGGTGGCACAATGAAGCTATAAAAAGAAAATCTCCTTCCATAAAGACACCACTTCTATCTAAATTCAGAAAATTAACATTACAAGTCACTGATGTCCACTGCTTTCTTTCCAGAGAGAGGTCAGGGTGTCTACTAATACATGTACTCATTTTCCAGTGGAACCATTTGTCACCGGTATTAAAGAGACATGAGAATCAAAAAGAAGAAATAAAGGCAAACAAAAGTGTTTTTTTAGTTATTCTAATTTTGAAATTCATTCTATTTTCTATAAAAGAATCTCATAGACAAGATGTGAAGTTTTCATATTTATAAATGAAATATACAACTTTATTTTTGTTATACAGAATATACAGCATTGTAGTTATATGTCAAAAGCAGGTTTTAATATGAGTGTAAATAGAAGTAGCTATAGTCTGGACCTAATGTCTTTATCGCAAAATCGTTCCTGTAACGATGGACTCTAAACCCTATAAAAAGGGACATGTACAAAGAGCTTCTTTTCAGCAAGTGACTAATAACCGATAATTTTTTTTATGATGATAATTAACTTTAGCAGTTGCACGTGTACATTTTAAAATGAGGCTATTTAACTGTTTCTATATATGAATAAAAAGGCCACTGTTATTTCCCATGTTTTATACAATGGTTCTGCCTTCTGTAATCTCTAAATGTGTTATTTCTAGTAAGAGTTTTCTATTAATAATGAAATTTGTTTTAAGGTAGATTCTTCCTTATTCTGGTGGTTAGCAAATAGTCCTCTTCTGGTAAGGCTAAGGCACAGAGAGGTTAAGTGATTTGCAGGTCAGGGGGAAATACAGAATTAGGAGAAAGGTGTCCTCACTCTCAATCTTTTATTAAAGCAAAAGTGGCAACTTTTTATTCTTGTATCCAGAGCTAGTTCCAAGATCTTTCTCTCCAGATAGAGAGTTAAGAGCCCAGTATGAGCTGGCAATGCTGACTTACTCTTACGTCTAGTTGATAACTTCCAGATCACAGATGGGTATGGGCTATTGAAGCAGGAGATCTTCTGGTCTTCTGCTCCAAGTCCTCCTTTTATCTATATCTAAATGTCCAGTTTCCAGGTTCAGCCCCCATACATTTAGTGAATGCTAAGTATCTCCTAATATCTTAGAGCCAGAACCAAGCTCTTTTCCCTCCTTTCTATGGATACATGTCAGCTACCACTTTGTTTTAAAGGGCATTTGGCCTGGAATGCTGACCACTATTGTATTTAACAGCAGAAAAGCACTAAACTATCTTGTTTGAAGCAATACATGTCCATTTATGTGAAGAATTAACTGCACACTTTCAAACAGAATGAATAGTTTTCCCCCACCCCCATCTTTACATTATCTATTTTAACCAAGGGCATCAACCAGTGTTTAGATAAATAGCAGCATTTTTAGAGTAATGACTAAAGAAATATCCTCATAATTTAATATCAGTTGGCAAAGAAAAGAATCTCTGTCAATGTTACTATGGCCAGTTTTTTTTTCCTCCCATGACCCACAGAGATGCTGAGGAAAATAATCTCATGCTTATAAACATGTTCATTAGATTAGTCGGTCCTCCTTATAGTACAGACAGTCCTATTAGTATGGAGCTTTATCATACAAAAATATTTGACCATTATTTAACAACACCTCCCCAAAATAAGCTACCTGTGTTGTCTGGTGGTTTTACAACTAGCTCAAATAAATACTTAAGCGATTCAAGGGCTTAACTACAGTAACATAAGTACAAAAATAGAATACAATATTTAGTTCAAGCTAAGTTTGTAACTTAGTGTCTGTGGGTCTCTCCGTAGGCAGAGAGATAGGCAGACATCCTTATCATAATCACCTAAAACCCCTCCTTTTCTTGATCCTCATTTGATTCAGCATGATCTCATGGCACAGACCCACCTTCAAATAATAAACATTTTAGCAGCTTGTTATACCATTAGATCCATCTGAACTTGATCTTCTGTCCAAATATCTCAGCTGATCCTCCACCTTCTCTGTCACTCAAACCTTCACCTCTCCTGCTGTGGAGCTTCCAGACTCATTTGAGCTGTCCTGAGAGAGGAACTCTTCTTCTGGTGAAGTAGCAAATCCTTCCCAAGCTCTGTCAGGTGAGTGGAAACTTTAGGGAGATGAGAAAGTTCTAAGCAGTCTGTGATCTGTTCTGTGTATCCTCCATCTCAGGGAAAATTTTCGTTCTGGGGAAGAAGGAAAAGACCAAACAGAGTTATCAGTACCAGGATCCTGCAAACATTTGAATGCCAAATCATTAGGGTGCCAAGTTCCTTCTTTAGTTTTGTGACAGTTTTCCATTTTAAAAGAACTTGTTGGACCTTCTAAAACTGGGAAAGGAAAATGTACCAGTGACTTCTTTGTAACTAAATTTTTAAAAATACTTTTTTATGTCTTACAACTTCTACTTGGCATTCAAGGCCCTCTATAATCTGTTGCCACCATCTTTTTCTAGCTAGTAGTCAAACTGGACTACTAAATATACTTTACTGTCTCCATGCCTTTGCTATTCCCTATTCCTGGACTGGCCTCTTCTCCTATTGAATGCCTGTCTATCCTCTAAAGACCAACTTAAATGCCACCTCCTATAGGAAACCTATCTTGACCTTCTCCTCCCCCACTGGTGACCACCTTTCCTTTTCAGACCTAACAGAAATCTGTTTTACTATTTTCTAAAGGATTTACCATATTACATTGGATATTAAAGCTATCTGTGTTTGCATTTTATCTTGCACCTAAATTGTGAGTTCCATGAGGGCAGACAATATGGCCTACGTAAATTTTTAGCTCTATACACAGAATATACTTAAAAATTTTTTTTTAATGAATGAATCCCTTCACGTAATTTCTCAGGCTATTCAATTTCAAAAGCACTCAATATAAATGCACCATTTATTAAATGATTACCATATGCAAACATCTCTCTCCCCTTAGCCACCTCACTGGGCCTTGGGGTTTAAGCTTGTAGTCACCCTAAAGAGTCATGGAAAATGAAGCGAAGGCTTTTGAGTATTAAAATAGTCACTGTTGAGACTTCCAAATTTGAAAACTACAATTCACGAAAAGCAAGGAAACATCTGAGCACATACAGAAGCCATCATTTTCAAAGGCCTCAGAGGTCCTCATAAGCTTTATTAGATGACATGCATGCCTACCTGGTTACTGCTGGGTTTCAAGTCTAGGATAAAGGGGAAAGGAGAAGAAAGGCTAGATTTGATTCCTTGGGTGCCTATCTCATTTTTGTTCCATGCTCTCACTGCAGTTGTTGCAGATGTTGAGACCGTAAAAACAAGCCTGTGGTCAGATTGTAAATAGAGTGCTGTATTAGGAGAAAGGTTGAAGAAAATGTAGCATAAAGCTCTCAACTAGAAGTCAGCTTGATGGGGTTGCTTGGCAATTCTTGCTTCACAAAGTCAGCTAGGGGAGGTGTCAATCTCTAATTTAACTTCATGGAAAACTGCTGATTCCCACTTCCTCCTCACTATTTATTTATTTATTTATTTATTGTATGTATGTATGTATGTATGTATGTATTTATTTATTTATTTAGTTTTAACTCTGAACTGAGTTAGCATGGAGTATGGATAGAGAGTTGGCTTCAAGTCAGAAAGACCTGGGTTCAAAACATGTCTCTGATGGCATTATAGCTGTATGACCCTGAGCAAATTATCTAATCTCTCAGTGCCTTAGGCAACTTTTTTTCTTGTTTCGTTTTTTGTTTGGTTTTGCTTTTTGATGAGGCAGTTGGAGGTAAGTGACTTGCCCAGGGTCACACAGCTAGTAAGTGATGGATTTGAACTCAGGTCCTCCTGACTCCAGGGCCAGAGCTCTATCCACTGCGCCACCTAGCTGCCCCAGACAACTTTCTAGGACTGTAAATTACAGAGAATGTGGTTCTCTCCATTGATGAAATCACAAGTTCCCTTTTTACACTTCAAAAAACAACAACAACAACAACAACAAAACTCTAAACTAATCAAAGTTGAATCATTGATTTTGAAGACATTAGTTTGTTCAAAGCCGGCCCAAGTGACTAGGATAGTCTAGCTAGGAATAACAAAATAGGATTCCAATTCTACTTTTGTTGGGTGTTGGTACTGGGACCATGATTAAGAGTGAGGTAGATGGAATTTGTATTGTGCCATGAGATATTAAATTATTGGACCAGCAATAAAGCAAAGACCCTAAACTTACAAAATGTGCATTTTATAGTCATTTTTTTTTTAAAAAACCTGACTGTGTGACACTAAATAAAGGTTTAAAATCAAGGCATGAAAGTTAGTGGATGATGCTTAGGAACCTTGGAGCATGACACTTTCCTTCTTCCTGCTCATGGCCTTGGAGCCTACTGATACTTGAAAATGGTGGGATCTATGTTCAAATGTTACCCTGCTTTTTGTGGATTGGCCATATGGTTATGGTTTTTATATCTTGTGAATATTAGTAGTGACTATATTATTATTTAATGGTCTTTCCATTTTTCATGAGTGCCTTGGGGTGACTGCAAGCAGAAAATTCCGGAGCCCACTGATGGAAGATGTTTGCACGTAGTAGGCATTAATAAACATTTGTTGAGTTACTTTTGAACACTGTTGAACTAAATTGGCTTTGAAATTATGTGAAAACATTCATTCCACAAACATTTATTCAGCACCTATGGCTAAGCTTTGGAATTTCCCCAATTTATCAAATTAAAACTGACAGATGGGAGAACAACTGGAATGAAAAACAATTATCAAGAATCTTATGCCATAAGAAATGATGAAAGGGACAGAGGCAGGAGAAACTTGGGAAGACTTGAATGAACTGATTCAGAGTGAAGTGAGAAGAACCAGGAGAACAAATTATAAACTAATAATATTGTGAAGAGTTAAGAATTCTGATCAATAGTCCTTTCCAGAGGACCAATGTTGAAGCATACTGTCTGTCTCCTGACAGAGATGATGGACTGCTGGTGCAGAAGGAAACACACATTCATGCACCTGATCAACATGTAGACATCTTTATTTGTTTGCTTGACTATTCTTATTCATTACAAGGGTTCTTATTTTCTTTTCTTTTTCCAATGGGGGAATTTTGTGAAGAAAGAGGAGCTAATGGCTGAGTTTTTCCTCTGTCCTCCAAAAAATTGGTCGTTGAAATATTTAAAATAAAATGCACAAAAGAAAATGGAAGGAAGTTCCAAAGAAAAAGTACTTATAGGACATCTTAGAATGTAAGATGTTAAATTTATGGTATGCTTTTTACAAAAGCAAGCTGTGTGTAACAAAGATTCATGGTCTCATATACAAACCTCTTTTTCTGTCTGTTTTGTATATGGAAATGTTCTTTTGGGGGATATTTAAGGGCTGAATAAAATTTTAAAAGAACAAAATAAAATAAAATTAATATAGCTTCCCACTGCTTCCCTTCTTCCTCCCCCCCCACAAGGGAATAGTGTAACTCCTAATCTCTTGCCTATTATTCATGGCTAACTAAGATAAATGTAACTAACTTCTATGATTCTTTAGTGATTCTGTAGTTCTGATGTTTTGTGGATATATCAAAAATAGAAGCAGTCATGTTTTTACCACTAAAGATATTTATAAACCTAACTGATTTCCCAAGCTAGAAATCATTTAGGGCTATAAGTATCAAAACCTCTACCTCCTTTAAGGAATAAGGCATCCAATTAAATAATTCTACTCTCCTGCTTGGGAGCTTCTGAACACACACACACACACACACACGCATGCACACACTCACACACACTCCTTAGCTTCTCTGAATTTTTAAAGTAAGATCAAAGGAGAGTCCCATATGAATTGCACAAGTATTCCTACCAAAGAGGGGTTGGGGGAAGGGTAGAGATCCTGTTTGTACCGTGCTGGTTGGATAGAAGGAATGGACTAGTCATTCCAGTGGAGAAAGTCTTTGTTTACTTTCCAGGTTACAAACAGTATTTTCCTGCTGCCACAATTGTTGCTTCACTTCCTGTGTTGCTCCATAGTCCTGGAGGCTTAGGTGCTCAGAGATTATTTAGTCTCTCTGTTGGCTCATCTTCTGAAGAGTCCATTATGTTTGTAGGCCATGAGTTACAGGAGGTGGTTTTGTGGTTATGAACAAAGATTATTGCATTGCTTTTTCCGTGCCCTTAATGTGGTAGAGAAGAGCTGGCATCTCTTTAGTGCTTTAAACTTGTCAGAGAGTTTTTACAAGTTATTTCATTCAAGCTTCACTAGTACCCATCAAGGTAGGTGTTATGTTCCCCATTTCATAGGTGCAGAAACTGAGGCTTAGAGAGATTACTTAATCTCTTTAAGTCACTTGACTTGCCCAACATCACACAGCTAATAAAAATGTTCAGAGGAATTCTAAACCAGGTATTCATCACTCCAAGACAGCTAGGTGACCCAGTGTATAGAGAGCTGGGCCTGGAGTCAGGAAGACATGAAATAGAGTCTGGCCTCAGATACTTCCCAGTTATGTGACCCTGCGCAAGTCACTTAACCTCTGTTTGTCTCAATTTCCTCATCCTGAAAATGGGAATAATACCTAAGGGTTATTGTGAGGATCAAATGATGTGTTTGTACAGCTTAGCACAGTGCCTGGCATGTAGTAGATATTTAATAAATACTTGTTTGTTCTCCCTCTCCCCCACCCATTTCTCTATCTTTAATGCTGTGCTGCTTTCTCATCTTTCCCAATGTTCTGGAACCAATAAATGAGATCACAGATCTAGAATTGCAAGGAATCTTTTGTTGTTCAGCCATGTCCCACTCTTCACGACCCCGTTTGGGGTTTCGTGGCAAAGGTACTTTAGTGGTTTGCCATTTCCTTCTCCAGCTCATTTTATAGATGAAGAAACTGAAGCAAACAGGGTTAAGAAACTTGCCCAGGGTAACATAGCTACTAAATATCTGAGTCTAGATTTGAACTCAGGAAGATGAGTCTTCCTGATTCCCAGCTCAATCCACTATACCACCTAGCTGTCCAAGGAATCTTGGAGATCATTTAGTCCAACTCCTTCATTTTACAGATGAGGAAATTGAGACCCAAAGAAGTTAAGCAGCTTGGCCCCAAATTATATAGGTAGTAAGGGCCACGGTATCATAGTTCTAGAGTTGGAAAGGACTTCAGAAGATATCTAGTCTAACCTCCTCATTTTACAAATGTGTAAACTGAGGCACAGATAAGTTAAGTGATTTTTTTTCCCCCAGTGGAGGAGCTGGGATTTGAACCCAGATGCTATGACTCCAAATTCAGTGCTATTCCCATCATACTTGGAACCAGCTACTAGGTGGTCAGGGATCTCATCCCTGTCCTGAACCTAATGGATCATTTGTGTCCTAGACGAATATTTTGGGGAAGTATGATATAGTTTAAAAAATGTTAGATTTGGAGTCAAGAGTCCTGGGTTCAATTCTTGGCCTTAATGCTTTTAGCTACATACCCATAGATAGCCAAGTCATTAAACCCCTCTAAATCACAAGTTCCATCTCTGTAAAACACGGTTAAAGACCTGCCTCACACAGATATTGTAGAGAAAATAGTTTATAAATGTTAAAACACTAAAGAAATGTAAGTTACTATTAAGACTGACATTTATTATGGCAAACTTTGTATACTGTGTCCCCCTTATCACCTTCTCTTCATGCTGACATAAAACAACTTTGAAGGTGAGCAAAATCCTCCCCAGCACTGACTGAAGGTTGAGGGAGAGAGAGAAAGGTTAGTGAGTGAATTTAAGTACCTCAGATTCTTTGTATAAACTCATAACCCTGTGCCTCCCATAAATCAGGTGACATTATTGTTTTCCTTCAGCCAGAGGGAGGGGAGAGAGGTAGATAACTCTGAAACCACGTGCTTCTGTCATACAAGTGACAGCCTCCACCGCCCAAGCAAACTTCCTGTATTTGCTCCTAGTTTGAAAAGTAAAGCAAGCTTTGCAAAGATTACTTCATGAAAGGAGTTAGATCATTCCTTGCAAATCACTGTTTTGGCACTGAGGGGGGAGTGGGGAAAGGAAGTACTAACATTCCAGAGGCTCTCAGATTTTATTTCTGTGAATTCAAGTGTCATTTTCTGATCTGCACTGCTTAATATTCAAACATGACTCCATCTTACCTGTTCAAAAGCAAAGCAAAATTCAATTTGACATAGCTTCTAGGAGATCTCGGGTTTAGGCCTTGCAAGGAAATTTGCTTTTCTGTGTATCTTTTACATAGTCCATTAGGCAATATTTTTTTTAAAGGACTTTCAATTTGATTCACCCTTTATTCCCATTTAGGCTTATTCCACTGATCATAAAGATCCCAGGACTCTGTTGGGCCTTGTCTAATACGCATGAACAAAAGAGCCTTTCCAATTTGGCTGCTCTTAACCCTAATGCCTTTCTCTCCACCATCCAACCTTCTCCTATATGCATGCATGCACATACATATTTCCCCAGGCTTCTGAAGGCCCAGATTCTACTTCTCTCTTTAAAGTCCACCTGAAGGATGTGAGAAATAACGTTAATCCAATCAGATCCTCTGTGCTCTTGAAAGAGTTAGGGGAAGATGTGTTTCAATAGAAAGAGACAAAGGCATTGGTTTAAATTTTTGGTTCCCAGCAGAATTGTACAAAGCCCAGTTCTTCTAGAAATACCCAGCCATGAGTCTTTTTTTATATATTGTGGTGGCAAGGGAGGAGTTGGTATGTGTATAGTGGTGCATTGCTAGAGTTACTGGGGTAAACTATTACATCAACAAATAGAGCCCTTGAAATTCATCCCAGCTGTCCAAAAGGGAAAGATTGGCCTCTTGCATAAGAATTAGAGAATGTTAGAACTAGAAGAAACCTTAGAGATCATCTATTCTTACCACCATCACCCCCCTCCTATTTTCAGGAGAGGAAACTCTCCAGCCCTGAAATTTAAAGTGACCTGCCTAAGGTCACAAAATTAAAAAGCATCAAAGACAGTGTTAAATCTAGTCTTCTAACATTAGGTCTAGTATGTTTTCCTCCGGACCATACTCATTGCAAACAGCTAGAAGATAATTATATAGATAGATAGGAAGATAAACAGACAGACAGACAAACAGATAGATAGGTAGATAGATAGAGCTGGAAGAAGTCTCAGGGTGTTTAAATGACTTGCCCCAAATCACCTAGCAAATGAGTGGCAAGGCCCAAACTAAAACCAAGGTTTCCTGATACCTAGATCTGTGTTCTTTTCATGAGATATAACAGCTCACGCTGATGGCCTGGAGACATTACTGGGTACTACAGCTGAGAAGATCAGATCCCTTCGTAGTATATTGCTGAATTTGATACATTAAATCCTGTCAACAGAAGAACCAAATGTAGCAAGTGCTTCTCTCAAAGTATGACCTGTCATAATTTCCAGGCTTGGAGATTTTTGCTTTGTTTTGTTTTAAATTTAGACTACTATAAACCTGACTACATACATACTATGCAACCTTCCATCTGAAGGCAAAGTGCTTCTTCGAAAAGTCTAGATTTCTTTGAAAACAGGCCAATCAGCCAAAATTTAGAGTTGGAGATGACCTTCGAAGCCATCTAGTCCCTATATTCCAAATGAGAATGAGCCTAATTTAATAAAGTTCTGAAAAAACCCCTAGTCTTAAAGTTGATATTCTTTTCAGTCACAGGTAGAGAAACAAGGTACTAAATCAGAAAACATTAAGACTCCATCTGAAAGCCCTTGAGTCAATTTAAATAAGGTTTATCTCAGTAAATTCTTCCCTAGGTACTTTAACAAGTGCTGAAAACCAGCCCAAGCTATCCCAGACAATTTCAGTTCAAGCCTAGAAGAAAGGTGACTTGTTTCTTACCCAGGTACACATGGCCTGTCCTTTTGGCACGGTGGAGTTAAGCAAAACCTTCACAGGGAGACAAAGACCTCTCATCTACCCAGTAAAGCCAGACTATCTTGGTGAACACAGGTATACTTAGAGTGTTCTACTGAAGCCTTAGAATAACCTCTAGGCTGTTTCATGGGTTTTTTTTCACCTGTGATCCAGGAAAAAGTGTGCCAGTTATGAAGTAGGAAACAACAGGAAGTGTACCAATGTTTTTAAACTGGGCCTGCTGTAGGACAATAACCCTGGAGACATCTGCTTCATTTGGAGACTTCTGGAACCTAGCCAGATGTCATCCTGTCTTCCCCCTGCACCACAGCACCCCAGTTTCATTTCTATCAGTCCCCAAACTATTTCTCAGTTCTCATTACTACAGATTACTGGACTGATTATTTTTATTTCCTTATCCAGCATTAATAAAACAAATTAAGCCTAGGTATCTGTTTTAGAAGTTCATCACAAAAACTCTGTAAAATGAAAGGGTTGGACTAAGTGGTCTGTGGGGTCCCTTCCAGTTCCAGATCTATGATACCATGAAATGTCTTCTGTTCTTAGCAGCAGTTTTCAAATTTGGCCACATTCCCATCCCAAATATATCATAAGGCCCTCCTCCCCACTCTACCTTTCCAACACGCATACAAATTGGATTGTTATTTCTGCCTTGGCCTAAGACGCACCTTGGTTTTACCGTGTTTCCTTGCCCTTGGGAACCAGCACCTTTCCAGCTAAGTCTTGGGTCCTCTTGCTTTCTGCCTCTTTGGCCTTTTTACAGGTATACAGCCACTTGATAATCCGAGCATTGCGTTCAATCACTGACGTGGTGCTAGGGACCTGCTCGGTTAGCTCTTCTTCCTGCAGCCCCTCATCCCCGCTGTGATGGGAGAAGCCACCCTCAGAGGTGGCCATGCTCACACTGCGGATCTTAAAGGATATGTGGTCCCACCCTGCTGAGAAGTTTTCCCTCCCAAGATCTTCTACCACCTCAGGGTCCAGGCCACAATATTTAAAGAAGGTGTCAAACTCAGAGAAGGATTTGGAGTAACGAGAGCTTATGTCAGACTTGGAGCGGTGCAGGCCCCTTCTCTTCACATCCCTGAGCTCAGCTGTCATCTCAGGTGCTTTCATGGACATCTTGTCTTCACTGGAAGGGACAACAAGGGGGGTGGTTATTGGGGGATTGGGGGGAGTAGTGTTCTTGTTGTCTACTTTGACCTCTTTGTTCTCCATTCTGGCCTCCTCACTCTCCAATCTCATCTCCTTAAGATCCATTCTGGTCTCTTTACTTTCCATTCTGGTCTCTTTTCCATTCAGTCTGGTCTCTTTAATCTCCGGTTTGGCTTCTTTGCTCTCTAGTTCGGTTTCCTCACTTTCTACTTTGGCTTCCTCCTTCACTTTGGGCATGTCAAGAGATAATAACATCTTTTCTTTGCTGGGACCCTGGAGGATCTTCCTCACCAAGCCCCCTCTTGCATTCTCAGTGCCTTGGCCTTTGACAAAGGCCACTTTGTCACACTTCTGACGATAGATGATGAGGGAATCTGGCCTCAGTTGCCTCCTGCTAATGCCTCTCCGGGCCACGGAAAATGTTGCCTGGGGTGGGGCACCAGGTGTCCCCACTCTCTGCCTCTTTTCTCCCTGTTGAGTCCTTGCTGCTTTTTCTGCTTTCCACAGAACAGGTTTCACTACTACTCTCTGAAGCTGAGCTCAGCCTGGCAGGCTCCTGCTTGGTGCCAATTACCTGCTGGCTTTTGACATATTTGGCCTTATCTGCAGCTAGTCTCTCCACAGCACTTTTTTTGGCCCGGTCTCCCCCTTCGATCTTCCTGCGCAGGTACTCTGGACCCTTGTGGAGTAGCCGGGTCGTCGGGGAGGAATTCAGGTCGGAGAGGGCATACATTCCCAGGCTCGGAGCAAGCTCAGTTGGCATGTCAGTTTTGGGTGGCTGGAACTCAGGGCAGAAAAATGAAAGAGGCTGGGGTTAGGGCAGCCTCCCACATCAATGTCCTGGGAGCTCAGTCCAGTTCCAAAGTCCTTTGCCTGACTGATTAGTGCTGGAGGAGGGGCAGAAACTCCAAGCTCTCTAAGCATGAGTCTGTGCTGTCTACAAACACCAACTGCACACCTTTACTGGCAGCTCGCAGCCTTTCAGGATACCTTGCCAGTGAACCAGCCCTCCTGGCTCACAGCAGCCAATCATGAGTGAGTGGGGTTGTCTGACAGTGAGAGGGGGAGTCCGGGCCAACTGCTCCGCTGCCTCCAGGGAAGACAAGCCCTAATTAAAGTATTTGCTTAGCATATGTTATCAGCAGACTCCTCTTCCTATGCCACATTTTAAAAGAAAAATAAAACCAAACCAAAAATTGAGGAACCTCATGGAGGTTAGTATGCCTCATCCCAGAGATTAAAATTTTTAAGGGAGAAGGAGAAGGAGAAGGAAGGGAGAGGAGAAGGGTGTTGCCGTGGTAGAAAGATTTCATGGATTTAAAATCAGAAAAGTGGGGTTCTAGTCCTTCCTTTGCCAATAACTAGCTATGTGACCTTTGACAAGTTACTTAACCTCTCTGGATTGCAATATCCCCTTTACTGAAATGAAAGGATTGGACTACATGTTCTTGCAAGTCCCTGAGTTTGTGAACCGGAGTACTGGTAAGAATACTGGCAGGGTGTCAAGAGACCTGAGTTCTAGTCTCTGGTCTCCCAATAGCTGGAAGAGTGAGGCACCATTTCTCTAAGCCATGGTAACTCTTCCCTAACTAAGCTTCTTATTTAGTTACGTGAAGAATCTGACTATTTCTAAGGCCTTGTTTAATTCTAAATCCTAGGAACTTCTGCTTTGTGTTTCTCAAAAACAAATTCTGTCTTAAAAGTTTTCAAATAATTTTTACAGGATATTTAGGTATAGATAATCTGTAGTGGATTACCTATCCTACAGGTAGGTGACACAATAGACATAGAATTGGGCCTGGAATCAGGAAGACTTGAGTTCAAATCTAGCCTCAGACACTTACTAGCTGTGTGACTCTGGTTGTCACTTAACTTCTGTTTGCATCAGTCCAAACATTCTAGGAAACAGTTTGTAACTGTATCCCCAAAATGGGGATAGTAATAGCACCTGTCTCCCAGGGCTATTGTTAGAATCAAATGAGATAATGTTTGTAGAGCACTTAGTACAGTACCTTGTATAGGCACTTAACAGATGCTTATTTCCTTTCTACTTACCCATTTGGAGCCAGGAGCTCTGAGTGCTAGTCCTAGTTCTGCAAGTGACTAATAATTTGATTTGGGAAAGTCATAGTACTTTAGACTTGGAAGGGACCTTAGAGATAAGGTTCAGTTTATTGATTCAGTTTGTAGGTAAGCAGGGTAAGATCTAGGGAGATAAAGTTACTTTTCCCATGTCACATATCTACTGATAGAGCCTCTAGAAGTATTTAGGTGACAGGGCTTTCAGTTAAACATTTTTTGCTCTACAGATCACTTACCTGTTCTGTATTTCAATGTTCCCATTAACAATTCAGGATAATAACAATAGCCCCTAGCATTGACACGTGACTATTGATAGAGTTAAATAAAATAATTTATATAACACAGCTTTGAAAGGTACAAAGTCCTATATAAACACTATCATTATAATTGTTATGGTTCAGTCCCAGAAAGGTAAAAAAATTATGTTCATAAAATTAAGGAAGGGATGAGAATTCCGATATTCACAAGATGAAACAAACATAAAAGGTATTTGCAAAGTTCCGTTCTTTCCTAAGGTTGCATAAATGACTGCAAAACTATGCCAGGCATCTGAAGGTCCAAGTTATTTCTTACTTTGCTGAAAATGCCAGGAACATCCTGACCTTTCAAAGGTTCCAAGTGAGTACTTTTTCCCTAAGGAGACTAAAATAGCAGGTGGGGCAACAATATTAGAAGGCATATCAAGGCAGCCCAATTATTCTTTTCCTTTCCTGTATCTCAATTCCAAGAAAAAATATCATGAAACCAATAATCACTGAAGTTGAACAGCATTCAAAAATGGGGGTATGGATGAAATAGGTCAATTCATGTACAATAGATGGTGTTAGGTTGTTTTTCATTCTGTCAAAAAGAATGGATAATTCATAGACTCAAAAAATTTTAGACCTGGAAGGAACCCTTAGACCCCATCTAATTCAGCTCTCTCATTTTGTAGATCAGGATACTGAGGCCAGGAGAATCCTGGATTATGAGTCAGAATATTCGGGTTTGAATCCAATGTCTTCCATTTATTAGCTATATGAACTTGGACAAGGCTCAGAGTTGCAAGAGATCATAGAGGTTGCCTAGGCCAGCTGCTTTCTCAACACAAACCTCCACTGAATCCCCAACAAATCATCAGGTGAATTGGTCCAACCATTCTAGAAACAATTTGTAACTATATTCCCCAAAGTCATTTAACTATTCATACCCCTTGACCCATATTAAGCATATACCTCAAAGAGGTCAAAGGAAGTAAGAACTCATATTTAGGCATTTGTAAAACTTTTATTACAACAAAGACCTAGCAACATTTTTATAAGCAACACTTTTATTGTAGCAAAGACCTAGATGTGAATATCAATTGGGGGGAATATTTGAACAAACTATAGTATATGTCTAACATAAAATGTAGGGATATCATTCAGCTGTGGCCACAGATGCTGGTGACCTCTATTCTTTACGAAGCCACTATGGTTTGCCCGGGTTCATCTCTGGGGAAGCCTAATCTCTCCCCTAGGAGATGTTGTTGTCCCACTTGTTGTCACACTCATTGGCCCATCATCCCTGCTCCAGAGTTCTGGGAAAGTTGCTAATTATAGTAACAATTATTACTCTAAAATCCAAAGGGAAAATGAAAAAAAGAAAAAGAAAAAAAGGGATGCCCAATGCATAATATGAAGTGGGTATAAAACAGATCATTTATTCTTACTAAGAAAGGAATGTTAAACCTAGAAGAGCAACAGCCCATGTAAACAGAACAATTCAAATAAGATTCTGTAATAGAATGTATACACAGATACAGTTGACTTGAAAGGCTGATAGGTCTCAAAGCGTAATATAGTTCTACAGGGGCAGCTAGGTGGTAATGGAACACTAAACTTGGGAGAAAAGAAGAACTACGTTCAAATCCTGCTTCAGACACTTACTAGCTTGTCAAATTACTTAACCTCTCAGTCTCAGTTTCCTCACCATCAAAATGGAAATAATAATAATTGGTCCTCCTTTACTTACCTAAGGTTGTTGTGGGAATCAAATGAGATAGCATCTGTAAAGAGCTTTGCAAACCTTAAAGTTCTATATAAATGATAGTGATGATTTTTATTATAGGATACTGCTAATCAGGCATTTCACATTTCCCCTCTGCACTGCCCACTGTCAGATCAAAGAGCCAAGACTGACCTTCTTTCTGGTGACCTTTATCTCATGTGGATGCTCCTGTTGTGGCCAGTCTATTCTCGCACCTTCTCAGGTAGATGATACTGTTGCTGCTTGCAAACCTTGCAAGGTTTCCTATTCAAGGAAAGGAAATACAAAAAAGTAAGGGGTTGCTTGAGCCCCAGGCATAAACATATCTAGTTGTCCTACCTAGCCCCAGCAGTCATATGATAGGATAGATATAACATCTGGAGCAGATAAAGGACTATCTATGTTCTTCCCCATCCCTAACAGGAATCACATTTGCTCACCTAGAGAGTTACAGGCAAGAAAGAGCCCGATGGAAAGTGTATCCTTTTTTTAAAGAAATTCTTCTGAGTCCTCAGTTCTTCCTGCTCAACAGCCAATCAGGGAACTCTCATTTATGGTCATATATCCCCAAGTCTGGACCTTAAAGCTCCTTAATAGTTGATTGGAATGGTGACTGTTAATGATCCAGTGGTTGGAGTGTCCCATTACATATGAATATGACAGTATATTATTATGTTATAATATGGGATAGATATGAAGAATTCAGATTAATTTGAGAAAACCTGTATGAACTGATGGAGAGTGAAATTACCTCAGGAAGACCAATCCTAAAATAACCTACTATTTGTCTGCATTCTACAAACACAGCAGTACACAAGCTGACTACTCAAACTCATGAAAAACTTTAGGATTTTTTGCTTCTAAGTCTGTTGGTATATGTAGCTTTACATACAGCTTCTATGTGAAAAATATTTTAGAAGATCCAAGAGGAGAACCCCAATGGTCAATTACTAGACAGAAGTTTGAAAGAAGATAGAACCATTAAATCAGCTTACCTAGAATGCAAGGTTAAATATGAATATGTCTTATGTTTCTTAGAGTAAGCTTTAAGGGTATGTATTGGCCAACAGAATTATTAAAAACTAATGAAAAAGTCAGACCCTTGTGAATGTGTCTTTAAAAATATTTTCTTAGTTTCTTCACTAGAGGTCTGCCCTGATGGCTTATCATGCCATGCAAGTGACAATGGGTTCTTGAAGTATATGTTAAAGAGTTCAGGCCAGCCATATATCCTCTCTTGGCCTCAGTTTCCCCATCTATAAAATGAGGGGGCTGGATGTAATCATCTCTAGAGTCTGACTCTAAAATCCCGTGATTCTAATTAATGCATGTTTTTAGAAAAATTGATTAATGAAGTGTTAAGTGACTTGCTCAAGGTCACACCACTGACTGTTGATAATAAAAGCAGAACTAGCCCTCAAGACTCCTCACTCACATAATGCTTTGATGTTCTCATCAGATCTTAGAGATTCACTCAAAAAAAAAAAGGTGACTTTGATCAGATAAGTTACTGAGTAATAAAACTAACTGCACTAATGCTTTTAGCTGAGAACTCTTTCTAGTATAGTCCAACACTTAGAAGAGATAGATACTAAATGCTATGTGAAGATTTGTAATGTATACAAAAGTGTGACATTTTTCTAATGTATCTCTCAGATCTATGGATAAGAGAAGAGTTTATGATCAAACAAGAGAAAGACAGTCATGAGAAGCATAATAGATAATTTTGATTACATAAAATGAAAAACTTTTTGCACAAACACAAGTAATGTAGGCAAAATTAAAAAGAAGACAAGAAATAGAGAAAAAAAATTTACAGCAAGTTTCTCTGGTAAAGGTCTCATTTCTCAAATGTATAGGAAACTGAGAAAATTTTATAAA